CCAGGTCCCGAACCCGTGGGGGTTAGGGAGCTGACTTCGCGACACAAAGGCTGGTTTATTAACCTCTGGAAAAACCCTACTGCGGCCAGGGGCAGCGCGGCTAGTGTCTCGGGAGCTGATTCTACAGTTGTTGCTAGCTCCTGGGCATAGTTGTGCTTCGCTCTTCTAGGGGGTACGTTCTTGAGGCTTGACTGCTGCTCGATATCTGTCCGGACGCCCCTGCTGCCTTGGCCACCGCTATCCTCGCGTGTCTATCCGCTACGTCCTCGATCACCCGCTCCAGCTCTCCGTCAAGATGCGACTCTCGCCCCTCCGAGCTGTCGGGCTCGTGCGCGGCGGGGCCTCTCCTCTTCCGAGCCTGGTCGAGGTGCCCAACGACAACCTCGTCCCGAAGGTTGCGTGGGAAGAGACATATGTCTCTCGCGTGCGTCCTCTCCCCCATAGTTTCCTTGTTCGGGGCAGACCACCCGCGATATACTCCCGGGAGAATCGGCGATGCTGTTGAACATCGTACGCACGATCTTTCGTGTGTACGGCATACAAACGTCTTTATCGCCAGCCCTCGCGCGTTCAGCTGATAGCCACCCCGCCGCGTCCTTCCAGTACACGATCTCCCCCTGCCCAACAGCTTCCTCCACCCTAGAACGCACCTTTTCCACAGCTCTTCGATCCACCGCCGCTTGGCCAGACTTCAACAGCGCTTGGGGGCCGTGGTTGGAGTAACGCGGGCGCACCAGTCACTTCGGCCATGCGGCCGGGTGTCTCTTGCAACGAGGTGAGGGCGGTGACAGGCTCGGTTCCACTTTCGACTTGCGGTTGAGATGAGTTGGTACTTGCCGGCACATATTGTCCACTACCACCTGCCTCCTGCGACGCCGAGGTGACAGGAACAACATCAGGTACGCTACCGGATGGGGTTGGCGACGGGGTGGTGGGAGCGACCACATCGGGTCGACTACCGGCTGGCGTTTGCGATACTGACGTGGACCTCCTGTTCTGATCCCGCACATAGCAGGCGTGGCAACGCAAGGAAGCCTCACGCGAGGACCCCCTCCCGTCCTTGTCGTCTACCGCGGGGTGCCATCTCCTTCCCTTGACCGGGAAAGTTTGCTTGCACTCGTCGCACTTCCTCTTCAACCTCGTCCTGGCGCCCTGAACAACGAAGTGGTGGAAGCATTCTTCGCGTTGGCAGAGGCAATGACTACAGTCCGGATGATACCCATGCACGACGCTCCCGGGTAGAGTCGTCATTCTGGCGCAGATATCTCCAGCCGTAGAAATGTGACTGACGATGTGCGTGAAGCCCTTCTCATCTGTCGACCTGTGACATGCAGCACACAGTTTCTCTCCCGCCAAATGCTCCCCCCGTGGGCACAGATAATATGGCTCGCCGCGAGTGGTGGTGACCCAACCGCATTCCTGGCGCCCGCAGGCCTTTGCGCGTGGCTTCCTTTCTTTTTTGCTTCCGTCACTACCGGCAACTGCTCGTGGACTCTTCCCATCTTGAACTCGCCGCCGAGAACGAATTCCCGGGGTAGTGCTCGCCGTGTTTTCACGCTCAGCCTCGGCGATCTCACGTTCCTTGCGGACCTTTGCTTCCGCCTTCGCCACCGACTGCTGCTCCTTGTAGTCCATATCTGCAATCCTCTGCTGCAACTGCGGTTGTAGTAGAGCCAAAGATCGTCCGGTCTTAACCCTCGCCTGACGCTTCTTTCCTGACCTTCGCCCCGAACCTTTCGACCGCGCGCCTGAATCTTGCGCCTGGCGCTTCGCTCTACTTGGCCTCGGTGTCTGTACTTCCCCCCCAGCGTTCCCGCGACGTCGCGTTCCCTCTTCGTTGCCTCTCGCAGCAGTTGGAGAGGATGGGTCCTCCGGCCGCTGGCCAGCGGTCGGATGCCGCGGGGACACGGGCGGTGTGTAACCCCCCACCGCCGGGGGGAACAGAACAGGGGGGTGCAGCGCACCACGTCTTCTGTCCCGGTTAGCCATGGGTCTGCGTGATTGCAGACGATCATGAAACCACCCTGAAATCGAGGTAGGGTATCGTCACGCAAAAGAAACGAAAATTGGTCAGTGGTCAGTATCCAAGTTTGTAAAACAGCGGTGCTCTTCTTCGTAGTGCCGCCTCGAACTGTCGGTGACAGTTTCCAGATCAACGTGTTCAATTCTAGTGTTTTCCTTTGACATGTGGCCAGGACGAACGGGTACGCCGAACCACACATATGACGAAACGTGGGTGGCAGTAGCATTCAGAACGGATCGAATACTGGACTTGGAAGATTGGGCATCGTTTCGTAGTATGCTAGTGCGCCAGATGCAACACGCACTAATATTATGGTTTTGCGTTGTTGGGGCCTGCTTGCGATGTGCATCGCGCCAGGCCGCGCAGGTGTGTGCGGATGGATACCAACACCTTGGTAGGATGCACTGTGGGCATTTCGAGGTTTGGACTCGTGATGCTTTGGTGTTTCTCACCCAAATGAAGTAATTACTTTTGCAATAGGTGGGCATGTGAGCAGAGTTTGCCTCTCAATCTATGTTGGGTTGTGGCCTGTCGACGTCAAGTTCATCCACCCACGGCCGTAAACACACGCGCCCGTGATTGCTGGCCATCACCCGCGGGATCATTTGTCTCTGTACCAAATGACTATTTCCTCTCGTAATAGGTGGGTTGGTGAGGTTTCGGAGATACAATAATCGAGGTTTCGTTGCATCATGCCAACCTCGTGAAAGTGCACCCACCGCCGTGCACAAGCGTGACCACGGATGCTGCCACCATCCACGGGATCCAACAACAAATTTGAGTTTTGACCTCGTCATGCTTAGGTGTCTCTGGACCAAATGAAGCCATTATTTTTGCAGTAGATAGGCATGTAACCTGAGTACATGGCACAACCCTAACGTGGCTGTATTAAGCCGGAGTCATGAAGAGACTGAGGTGTTACTGCTGTTGGGTACGTGATGTCGGTGGCTGTCCTCTGGTGGTACGCCCTGACTATATTCCGGATATAAACTGCTACGCGGCACAACTGGTCCAAAGAGCCTCGCCGACTTCTAGTGTATGAGTAATCCAGCGTACCTTTGTCGGAAATTGGACGCCTACGCTCCTGCTTCGCCCTCTGTCGACGTTGATGTACGGTGAGCACTGCGCGGATCGCGCCGCTTGCTTGGCAGTGTTTCCAGGGGGGGAACACGTTTCCGTTGGAGGCCTCGTTTTCCATATATTTTCCTTCTTTTTCTTGCTACGCGCAGCACTGTATATGCGTTATCGTGTGCACGTGAGGACACACGATGCACGTGAGAGAACTTGGAAGTAGTTACTCAGTTTGCGTGGGGGCACCACCTACAACTGTTGCACTACATGCCACATACGGACAGCAGTTGTCAATATCTAGCTGAGAACACGCGGCACAAGTACAAGAAAATCCACCGCCGGTGCTACATGAACAACAACAACAACGTGGTCGGTCATGGATAATGAGTCGACGTTCTCCAAAATCTCGTCCAATGAGCTGCGTAATTCTTGAGAGGCACAGTCCCTACCGTAGCGGATGCAGGAGATTTGAGTCGTACTTCACGGTGCTGTAACTCGGCTCGCCCTTGGAGTCTTGAACTCGCGACGGGGGCGCTGTAATCGTAAGATTGGCACGTTCACGTCGGCGAAGACGGCCGACAAAAATGTTTAAACTCCATTTAAACAAAAAAAACGATTTACCGCACCGCGACGTCCAGCAAAATGACTGAAATAGTGGTTGCGTGCATTCACCGCGCCGTAACTGTACTCGCCTTTGGAGTTTGGAGCTCTCGGCAGGGGCGCTGTGATCCAGAGATTGGCCCGCTGCAGCGGGCAACAGCCGGCGAAAAAGAAAGTCTCAATGCGACCGCGAACGGATGCACCGAAAAAAAACGTCTTGCTTCTAGAGTACAACAATGGTTGAACTCTTGCGTCTCAGGCTTCCGTCCGACATGATGTTAGTTAAGTCTATGTGTGCGTCCTAGGCTACCGTTGGATAGCTAGAATTACTACATGTCGGTACCGTTGTCCTGCGATATTTAGCGATCATTATCGCCCATGCATGAATTAACCCCGAGCTCACCCTACCTAATAAGTAATAAACGAACTCTGGCTAGCGCATGTCAAGTTAAAGTAAGGGTAATCTACCTTGCTCGATAGCTGTATTGCTGCTGTCTCAGGTTGCTCCCCCGGTGGATCAGGGGGTAGACCGCGCGCTCATGACGAGTAAGTCAGTTTCGAGGGAAATGTTCGAGTTCTCAATACCGACGAAAAAAAAACAAGGACACAAGATGCCCTGGTTAGGTTTCGCGGCACCCACGAGGCGTTTTGCGATCATCCGCGAAATTGGAAGGCGTTTGCGGCTCTCGAAATAATCCAGAACGCTCTCTCTCTCACCCGAATCTGGTTTGTTTATAGATAGGTGGAGCTATTGGCAGGATGGCGGGAGGACTGGCAAGCACGTCCTGGACTCTGCTGGTAGTCCAGTCCATCTGGTCTTGTGCGCTTGGTCTTGACATGTACAAGTTCTGGGGAATGTGAGTATACCGTAAAAGTCGGAGTTTTCCCCCCGGGGAGGGCGTCCTTTTTTTTCTGAAACCAACCCCCCTGGGGGGAATTTGACGTACCGGGGGGGTTAGTTTTTTTTTCAACGCTACCCCGTGGGGAATCCCCCCGGTTGTGCAAAATACCGATGACCCACACACCACGCACACAGAGAGTGGCGAAACTGAGATGGATAAGATTAACGAGCAAGCGTTCAAAAAGCAGAGGGAGGAGGAACGTAAGAGCATCGAAGGCGAAGCGAAAAAAGACGGCAAGGAGGACAGCAGCTGGNGGGGGGGGGGGGGGGGGGGGGGGGGGGGGGGGGGGGGGGGGGGGGGGGGGGGGGGGGGGGACTCTGCTGGAGGGGAGAACTCCGACGTTTACGGTAGTTGGCGATCGGGAAAGAGGCTCGCCACAGGCTTGCAAGCTCCCCAAGGTTCCGATGCAGACAGGGTATCGTGGTGATCACCGAAACGATATACGAAGTATTGAGCAGCACTGAAATATGTTCCGTTCATAAAACGTTCACGGTCACAGGCGGAAAAAGCTGAAGATTTTTGCGCGTTGGCCAGCGCTAGCCCTCTTCAGCGGCTGCGCAGGGGCCGTCGTCCAAGTTGTCATCGTACTGCAGGAAATCATGGCGCAGGTACCGTGCATCTTGGCTAATATCAGGTTGCTGTCATCAACGTCTCAACTGAAATATTGGATCTCGAGCAAACAAGAATCGGTACTCACGAAGTGGTGCAACGAGCGGCCAAATCTTAATGACATAACATATCGTGGTGTGTTCCCGTCACGAGTGTTTCAACGTTGGCGCTGCTGTATGACGGTAGACTGCTCCTTCAAGTAAATGAAGAAACGCCAGAAGTTGACACGAATTAATGCATTCAGAAGACGCGGGTTAGAAAACAATCGTGGTCGGACAGAATGCAACGGGCAGCATCATTGCAGAGACAGCATGAAATTCGAGCCTGCTCGGTATGGGCTTGTTGGAGCGCATTTTTCAATCCCTACAAAGCTAACTTCTTCCAGGCCTTGCTTGTATGTGATAGCTTTCTTTCTACCTTGTCGCGTGCTCGATTGTTTGTGGGCGTCCATTTCCTGCAGGAAGGCCACATCTTGCCCTGCGTCGTTGTCCTTTACCTGAACCCTGTGGTGATCGGATCTTACGCGTTGCCGTATCTCTTGAGAGGTTTCAGAGCTGTCGTCATCTCCGAAAAAGGTTCGAGTCTCTGACGACGATGAGTAAGTCTGATTGTGCTCACGAAAACAAGAGGTCGAGGCCACATCGATTGGCATACGAATGGATCTCCACCACACAATGAGTACCCGCCAATAGTAGAAGGAAAAAAGTATGGCTTCCGTTTCTCGCCTATCGGGTATCCTCCACCAGGTGCGGGCCTAAGAATACGTCCGTGCACCCCTGTTGTCCAACCGACTGTGAGCGTTGGCAGTCCCACTTGAAGTGTCATGTGATCAACGACTGCACAACTCGACCTCTCGATCGGTTTGAAAAACAGAGTAGAGAAAAACATTTGTGGCACGCAGTTCGCTGATTGGCCAACGCCCCCTGCGGCGGAATTTAAAAAACAGCAAAAAAATAGGGCACGATCGAAGATCCTTGGATGTCGGGTGACGTCATCCACGGTGGATTCGAGGACAGCACGCTGGGAGATCTCGGGAAAATCGCGTCGTCTTCGAATGATGACCTCATCCTGGCTGATTACAGGAGAACGGCGGGGGACACAATAGAGAGAGATGGATCCTCCGACCGTCCGATAGATCTCCGACGCGTTCAATCTTGGATTCGGGATGCGATAGCAAGGAATCTTTCCGGCCTTCAACCGATTGATATAGACAGCCCAAGCTTGGCACGCAGTCCGCACTAAAACGCCTCTACTCCTCGCAACACAACTTCCCGACAGTCATTGAGGTCGCAGAACCGTTCGAACAAGGGAACAAGCAACCAAGAGGCCGTCCTTACATAAAAAAAAAAGTCTGCAACCCATCACAGGAGTAGCACAGAAAGCGAAGACAACGTCGGGAGGCTTGATGCGCGAAGAGTAGATTTGAGTATGCGTCTCCTACTTTCGAGAATGACCCAATACCGAGGCCGGTCTGAAAAGAAGACCGATTTCGATGCTTGTGCTGTCCTTCTCGGGTTCGTGTTCGGTTTCATCCAGCCGTGCCGAGGAGAAGCGTTTCAACCATTGGCATGATATTTTGCCTTCACGGCGGAAGCAAACGGTGCTGAAGCCCAGGAATGTCTTTCTCCCTCATCCTGCTCCCTTCCGTCTTGCATCCTTGCAAAGCGTATGGTGCACCCAATGGTGTGTCTGCCAGCCTCGAAAATTCTGGTGAATGACATTCGAAGGAGTTGTTGAGATTCAGGAGGCCAGTGGAGGAAGAATACGTTATCCCCTGAGAGCCGCCTCATCTTGTTTGTGACTCTCCCCAACCCCCTTCGTGTATCGCTTTCCATGTTGACGGTGCTGGGGGACTCACAGCGTGGAGAAAGAAGTACATGACCTTCCTTTCTCGGAACAGCATCACAATTTTGATGGGGACGGTTTTCATAATCTTGCTAGGCATGTGTGCCATGCTTCAGCACGTTGTACCCGAGGTTTATGGGTGAGACGGATGGATGAATGGATAGCTTCGATGCTTGACAAATGAGTGATCACAAAATTGCTCTGATTTGAAGTCCTCGGCCCCGTTGGTGGTTGCAACATGCATCGTGTCCACAAAGGTTGTCCACATTACTGTAGTTTCGAAGTACTCGAGTAGAAAATGCTGCGTTCAGCGCCAAGTGACACCAGTAGTTTGAGTGCCTGCATGCGACCGCAACACATTTTCGGAGAAGGGGGTGCGGAAATGCACCACCTTCTCGCGTCGTATCCAAGCCCTCGGTTTTGCCGGCAAACGTTCACCGCCGCTCGACAGGGAAAACCCTACCAAGGACTGCATGTATCTTGGAGACTGGTGGTTCTGGTGCCCTTCGTGCTTCCTGATGATACTGTCGGGGTCGAGGCTATTCTCAGAGCTTTTACGTCTGCAAGACAGGATCAATATGGCCAAGGAAATTTCCACGGCTGCTGGCGTGTGGCTTGTTATGGCCGGTGAGTGCCTAGAACGTGGTATGGACTGTGTATGCAAAGTAGATTTGCCGAGATAGATTTATCGAACGAAATAACCGGTTATCTTGATATAAATGGTTTTACCACGACCAGACAAGTTATCATAGCGACACCATGGATGTAACGGCTTTAGGTTGGTTTCTGACAACAGTCATACTTCAAGGTGATGTTTGCAAATTGTGTTGTGGGAATCCCTCTCCTCATCATCCTTGGCTTGTGATTTGTATTTTCTGAACAAGGGTGTCATCGTCCGAACGAGGCAATGTGTCTCCGCCAGAAAGCCATATACCCTTGTTCATACCTGCTTTATTCAACGTGTGGGTGCAACAGTGACCCCTGTCTTCGTATACCGATCGTAAGGTGAACACAACACCAACCACAAACCAATGAAAATGAGAAGAACACGACAGCATCGGTGCAATTGATGGCCTGACTCCGTGCAATACCCACTACAGCTGGAGTTTCGAAACAACGATAGATGTTGCGTGCTCGAATAAACCTGCCGGCTCCCAAGGAGTTGTTCCTCTTGCCACGCATAAGAAAAGTTAAGTGTTGTGTACAACCCCCTATAGGAGGCATCCTCTCCGCCAAATGGTCGTTATTCATCAAAGTTCATGAAAGACATTTACTTTCTCGCTGTTCGCTAGCCCCCGAGGTGCTAACCGCATACGAGTACGATTGGTGAGAGACCAGGCATCGGAGCCGTCAACCACCGACTAATACTCCTGCCCTGCTTGAAGTCGCCGCAAGCGTCGTTCAGCCTTTGGTTCACGCAGGAGTTGTCCGACATCCTTGAGTGTCTCCCAAAACCCAGCCTTTTCTTCAACAACCGAAGGCGTCCAACTAACCTCTCCCCCCCCCCCCCCCCCCCCCCCCCCCCCCCCCCCCCCCCCCCCCCCCCCCCCCCCC